GTATTGCGAAAGATTTTTGTACAAATAAAGGATTTTTTTTACTACTTACCTGAGAAATAGTCATTATTCAATCTATTTTTCTAAGAAAAAATTGAATTTCTCTCCCTAGGTGAATAATGAAAATAATGAAAAAGTCCCTAGGTCAATAATGAAAATGACGTCATGACGCAAGGATATTGTCATGTTTCTATTGGTTCAATTTCAATTTCATGCGTCAATTTAAAACAAAATACAGGTTTCTGTAGGTACATAGGAAGTTATCATAAGCTGTTGATAGAGGGCAGCACTTTCAAGAGGGCGTTCAAAAAAAAATAATTAGAGCACAGATTTTAAGCAAATTTTTTATTTTCTACTAGCAGTAGTAAAAAAAATTCTATATATTCCTCGGTAGAGAAAGTCATTATATACCGAGCGCTTTTATGAACCGAGGCGCAAAAACACACTGAGTAATATTTCTGCCTTAGAGTCAATGGTCTAATTTTTGATTTTATTTCTGGAGATCTGGGAAAGCTGAAGGAACCAAATATTTTTTCATTTATTGAGGAAGCTTTCAGCTTCAACATACTAAAATTTTATGGAAAAATAGCCCAAGATAACGGAGGTATGATTTTTGCAATTAGATAGACACACTGAGTAATATATCGGCCTTAGAGTCAATGGTCTAATTTTTGATTTTTTTCTGGAAATCTAGGAGATCTAGAGGAACCAAATATTTTTTTATTTATTAAGGAAGCTTTAAGTACTAACATTTAAAAATTTTATGGAAAAATAGCCCAAGATAACGGAGGTATGATTTTTATAATCCGATAAAAACACTAAGTGATATTTCTGCCTTAAAATCAATGGTCTAATCCTTGATTTTTTTTCTAGAAATTTGGGAAACTTGGAGAAACCAAATATCTTTTTATATAATATAGAAACCTACAGCTTCAACATGCTAGAATTTTATAAAATAAATATAGTTTAAAAAAACTAAAAAACACGCTTTTATAGTAAATTGAACTAAAAAGTGAAAAATAATTTTTAATATAAACAGAAAATATTAATGAACAAAAAATATTAGAATTATTGTGAAAAAAGCGTGGAGTGCTCAATGTACGAGAAATGTGGAACAAAGCACCCACGCTTTTTTCACAATAATTTTAATATTTTTTGTTCATTAATATTTTCTGTTTATATTAAAAATTATTTTTCACTTTTTAGTTCAATTTACTATAAAAGCGTGTTTTTTAGTTTTTTTAAACTATATTTATTTTTCACTTTTTAGTTCGATGTATTATTTTGTTGTTCATTTTTTTATTTTGAAGAAAAAACTTTAATTCTTATTTGTGTTTTGTTTATATTTTGCACCATTTATCTTTATCAACGGCTAGTGCGTCGCACCGCACCGGTATCACACTCACACTGAGTGTGTCATTCCTGAATTCGCCCCAGAGATTTCTAGACTTTTGCAGACATTATCCAGACTTATCCAGAGCTTTCCAGAGTCTTCCAGACTTCATCCAGATTTATCCAGACTTGTACAGACTGATCCGGATTCTGGAAAATGATCCCTAGGTCTTTTGGGACCTTTTCCAGAATTTTTCCGACCCTTTCAAGAAGTTTCCAGGCCTTTTCCAGATGTTTCAAGATATTTCCAGACTCTTCCAGACAATATCCAGACTTATCCAGAGTTTTACAGACTTCATCCAGATTTATCCAGCCCTTATCCAGACTTGTACAGACTGCTCCAAATTCTAGAAAATGATCCCCAGGTCTTTTGGGACCTTTTCCAGAATTTTTCCGACCCTTTCAAGAAGTTTCCAGGCCTTTTCCAGACGTTTCCAGACTTTTCCAGACATTATCCAGAGCTTTCCAGAGTTTTCCAGCCTTCATCCAGATTTATCCAGACTTTATCAGACTGATCCCGATTCTAGAAAATGATCCGCAGGTCTATTGGGACCTTTTCCAGAATTTTTCCGCCCCTTTCCCGAAATTTCCAAGTCTTTTCCAGAGATTTCCAGACTTTTACAGACAATATACAGACTTATCCAGACCTTATCCAGACTTGTACAGGCTGATCCGGATTCTGGAAAAAGATCCTCAGGTCTTTTGGGACCTTTGGCAGAATTTTTCCGACCCTTTCCTGAAATTTCCAGGCTCTTTCCAGACGTTTCCAGAGATTTCCAGACATTTTCCAGACTTTTCCAGGCTTTATCCAGATTTATCCAGACTTGTTCCAGCTCACTTGGCTTGTTCCAGGTTCTTGTTCATACACTTCCCAAGGGTCCAAAAGTTCGCACGCATCCCTATGTGCCCGTGCGATAAACATTTTCAATGTTACTTACAAACATACATACATACAAACATACATACATACATACAGGTGAAGCTAATATAAGCGTGTTAAAAATAGCCTAGGATAACAGAGCTATGCTTTTTGCAATCCGATAAACATACTGAGTGATATTTCTTACTTATAGTCAATGGTCTAATTTTTGATTTTTTTTCTGGAAATCTGGGAAACCTGCGGAAACCAAATATTTTTTCATCTATTAAGGAAGCTTTCAGCTTCAACATATTGAAATTCTATGGAAAAATCGCCCAAGATAACGGAGGTATGATTTTTACAATCTGATAAACACAATGAGTCATATTTCTGCCTTAAAATCAATGGTCTAATCCTTGATTTTTTTTCTGGAAATCTGGGAAACTTGGAGAAACCAAATATTTTTTATATAATATAGAAGCCTTTAGCTTCAACATACTGAAATTTTATAAAAAAATAGCCTAGGATAACAGTACTATGGTTTTGGCAATCCGATAAACACACTGAGTGATATTTTGGCCTTATAGTCAATGGTCTAACTTTTGATTTTTTTTCTAAAAATCTGGGAAACCTGGAGGAACCAAATATTTTTTCATTTATCAAGGAAGCTTTCAGCTTCAACATATTGAAATTTTATGGAAAAATAGCCCAAGATAACGGAGGTATGATTTTTACAATTCGATAAACACAGTGAGGGATATTTCTGCCTTAGAGTCAACAATGATCTAGTTTTTCTTTTTTTTCTGGAAATCTGGAAAACCTGGAAGAGCCAGGTATTTTTTCATCAAGGAAGCTTTCAACTTCAACATATTGGAATTTTATGGAAAAATTACCTAAGATAACGGAATAATGATTTTTACAATCAAATAAACACACTGAGTGATATTTCTGCATTAGAATCAATGGTCTAATTCTTGATTTTTTTTCAAGAAATCTGGGAAACTTGAAGGAACCAAATATTTTTTCATTTATCAAGGAAGCTTTCAGCTTCAACATACTACAATTTCATGGAAAAATTGCTCAGGATAACGGAGCTATGCTTTTTGCAATCCGATAGACACACTGAGTGATATTTCTGCTTTAGAGTCAATGGTCTAATTTTTGATTTTGTTTCTGGAAATCTGAGAAACCTGAAGGAACCAAATATTTTTTTATTCATTAAAAAACCTTTCAGCTTCAACATACTGAAATATTATGGACGAATAGCCCAGTATAACGGAGCTATGCTTTTTGCAATCCGGTAAACACACTGAGTGATATTTCTGACTTAGAGTCAATGGTCTAATTTTTTATTTTTTTTCTGGAAATCTGGTAAACCTGGAGGAACCAAATATTTTTTTATTTATCAGGGAAGCTTTCAGCTTCAACAAATTGAAATTTTATGAAAAAATAGCCTAAGATAACGGAGGTATGATTTTTACAATTCGATAAACACATTGACGGATATTTCTGCCTTAGAGCCAATGGTCTAGTTTTTGTTTTTTTTTTTTTGGAAATCTGGAAAACCTGGAAGAGCCAGGTATTTTTTCATTCATCAAGGAAGCTTTCAGGTTCAACATATTGAATTTTTATAGAAAAATTGCCTAAGATAACGGAGGTATGATTTTTACAATCAAATAAACACACTGAGTGATATTTCTGTCTTAGAATCATGGTCTAATTCTTGATTTTTTTTCAAGAAATCTGGGAAACCTGAAGAAACCAAATATTTTTTCATTTATCAAGGAAGCTTTTAGTTTCAACATGTTGAAATTTTATGAAAAAATAGTCCAAGATAACGGAGGTATGATTTTTCCAATCCGATAAACACACTTAGGGATATTTCTGCCTTAGAGTCAATGGTCTAATTTTTGATTTTGTTTTTGGAAATCTGGGAAACCTGAAGGAATAAACATTTTTTTATTTATTAAGGAACATTTAAGCTCCAACATACTAAAATTTTATGGAAAAATAGCCCAGGATAACGGAGGTATGATTTTGATAATCCGATTAACACACTGAACAACTTAATTAAGACTTATATGTTGTATTGTAAAAATCACAATTGAATCAGCAGAGTCTCGATTATTGTGACATTTGTAGAATTTACTATAGAATTTGAAAAAGTTACTGAAGAGTTATTAAATGATTCTTGTTAATATAGAAGTCACAAAGATTCTATAGAATATGCAATAGATTATTATCAAACTTGTAGAGAACTCACCAAAAATATACAATGTTCAGAAAAGTTCCTAGATCATTGTAAGAACTATAGAATTTACTATTGAACTCAAAGAAGCAACTGAAGAGTTGTTGAATGATTCTGGAAACTATAGAAGCTATTGTAGAAGTCCAAAAGAATCTATAGAACACGCAGTAGATCATTGTTGTATCTAGATTTTTATTGTACATAGATATCTATCAAAAATTGAACACAGTGTCAATAATTTTATTGCAGTCGAGCCGGAAAAATCTTCATCAAGCTCGTGTGTAGGTTGTGGTCAAATGCGCAGCATCACATTTCGTTTCCGTCACAAGCTAATTGCACAAAAATTTCAATTTACACACTAATTAACATATAATTAAATCAATAAAAATAGGTGTGAGTGATTAAATCTTGGAATAATTTAATTTTTTTTTTTTGTAATAAATAATTCATAACTGTATGATACACATTTATTTATTTTTAAGAAACATATAAAATAATTCTTACCGATTATTCGAAAAAAAAAGCTAAAACACTCCTCGGGAAAACAAAACACCTGCTGCTGTTCGGTCTGGTTGCAGTTCACCGGCCCGAAACTTCCGCTGTGTGTGGGAAAACTTTGAAACGTCGGGGAGAAAAACTCTGCTCCTGCGAATATCTTACGCTTCCGCTGTACCGGAGAGCACTGTCCCTGATATATCGGTGGGAGCTTGCGTTTCTCTCTGGACCTGGGACGAACGCGCAGCCACGTGCGAGCAACAAGGACGCCGGCAAATTTGGAAGTTTTTCCTCCCGACAAACACACATCGGAACGTCTGGACGGGCCAGGAGAGGTGGCTCGAAGGTGTCCAGGAAGTTGCCAGGTTAAATTTATCGTTTTTTGTTTTATAGCCGGTGCGGTTGTTGCACACTGGAAGTTTGGCAAAGGGCAACATGGCAATAATAATAGATAACTGGGATTTCGATACCTACTTGTTGTCCAAGTTGCGAATTAATGCAGAACTTCCGCAGTTAATAATGTTTTTTTTTTTGTCGTACTACTAGTTGGAAGTTAGATTTTGGGCCTGAACATACACATCATTGGCAAAATTTTAGCTCCAAGGTATCCAGAGTTGCCTTTTTCTAGAGTAACTTCCAAAGCATCTAAAGTCACTTTCGAAAACTTTTATATTGTCCACGTGAGGAGGTTAAAAGGTCCAGATAAATTCACCTCCACATGTTTTCTGAGCTTAATGGTTTTAGTATCGAGTCAGTAAGTCTTAATATGTAATAATTATCAGTTCAATTTTTGACTATTCCCAGCTTGAAATCAAGTGTCGAAAATTAATAATAATTATTTCTTCAATGTAGGAAATCCTGGAGTCTCAATTATCTACATGTAGGTTCGTGTTGTAGGTAGTGTTTCAAGGCACTCATGGCCCTTATGGGTTGGAAATATGAAAAAATTTGCTACAAATTGAGTTTTTATTTTTTTTCTGAAGATTTTCCATAAAGTTCAACATTTATCTTTTGACAGGTGATAAATATTTTCTCTATCGACATTGTGTCCATTTAGCAGTAGAGGATTACAATCCCTGAAAATTTCAGCTCATTTGGACTTATAGTTCCAGAAATAAAATCGTGTTAGGCAATTTGGGGTGAGTTATCAATTTTTCAATTTTTTTGAGAAAATATGTTAGAGGATAGGCCCGGATGTACAAACCTGGCTCAAGTGTGGTTCAAATGTTAAACTAAGCTCAAAGATGAAAACTGCTTGTACAAGTATGGTTCATTCCTAAACTTGGTTTAAATGCATGAGTTAAGCCCTGGTTCCGCTGAACCCCCAAAAATGTTTTGAATAAAATAAATTTTCAAAAAGTACTTGGTGATGACTAGATGCTTTTGAAGTTCCACATTCATCTTTTGACAGATGATTAATACTCCATGCAATAACATTGGGTCCTTTTTTTTTCAGAAACGCTACGGTTTTAGGACAGTTATGGCCCTTATGGGTTGAAAATATGAACAGTTTTGTTCCAGTAGAGCAACTAAATCAATTGATTAGGTAATTCTTAAAAACAAATTTTCACTTCATACAGAAGATAGAATTTCTAGAAAAACAAAACTAGGTAATAAATTTTAAACAAACTACGTAATATACTTTTATATAAGTTTTATTTATTGTTTATTTTGTGTTTTAATGAAAACATGTGAAGGTTTTCCAATTTTTCAACAAATAAAATTGTTGTCAATTCATAAACTAATGCATTCAATAATTATTTATCAGTACCACCCAAATTTCAATTTAAATCGGTATTAAACAATGACTAAATGGCACTTTTATAGGTCATATTTATATGAACAAATTATATTTACCCAAATTAGTTATCTTTATAATAGCCAACAAACCTAGTTAATTAGTTTGACTATAGCAATTTGAACAGGATTGGCTCGAAATTGTTTTAATAAAAAAAAGTTTTCTTCTAAAAATGCATTCCTATTGGTTAACTGTGAATGTAAAGTTCTACGATAAATTTCTGATTGCTCCAAGATAAATCAAAGATAAACTAGGAGCAATTTGAAATAAATTGAACCGATTTTATGAAATCCGCACCTGTCTGATAACAACTGTTAAAAAACCGAGATTTTCTTTTTTGGAACTTTGTTCCTTATCGTTACCTATAAGGAGTTGAAATTATTCCAGCTAAAATTTATCATGTGCATTAAATATTTGTTCAATAATTGAGGAAAAATGTCTTCTACTACTGTAAGTTGAAAGTGAGTTTTGGTTTGTAAAAAAAAAAGAGTTTTTGTAGGAAAATGGAAAAGTTAATGATTTGAATGAGATCAAATCGGAACCAAATTCATCTCAGGTAAGCACGATTATAATATAGAAAAATACATGAAAAATACGTAAATTTTTCTAAAATAAACGTTTTATGGCCTTATCACACAATAAATCAACCAACATAAAATAATAAACTTTTCTGAAAGATTATGCGTTTTATATAGGCACCAGATATAGACGAATCCAATCCAAATCGAGCATCATGGGACAAACCCATAGAATTCCTGATGTCCTGCATAGCCATGAACGTAGGCCTGGGCAACATCTGGCGATTTCCATTCGTCGCCTACGAAAACGGAGGTGGCGCTTTTCTGATTCCTTACTTATGCGTTTTACTCCTCATGGGCAGACCCATGTATTATTTGGAAGCTTGCCTGGGCCAGTTCAGTAGCAGGGGTAACGTGAAAATGTTTGAAAATTTAGCACCTGTTTTAACAGGTAAATTACTGAACCAGTTAAGCCAATTCTTCAATAATTATTTATTTGTAGGTATTGGTTATGGTCAACTTATTGGGACTTTTAGTGTTGCCACTTATTACTGCTCTCTTATGGCGATAACATTATTTTACCTGATCAATTCCTTTAGTAGGAATCTGCCTTGGTCCACTTGCCATCCAGATTGGCAAACTGTGGATTGGGTCATTAAAAGTAACGTTACTTGTGTACCGTCGAATTCCGGTGCTGTGAATAGTTCCAGTACTACTGGAACGGAAATTAGCTCTGCGGAATTGTATTTCAGGTACTAGGACGAAAAGGTTTTAATTTAGGATTTCTGCATTTTTAGACTCTACCAAGGGCAATTTAAGAGTCCATAATAGTAATGCCCTTTTTCCTATATGGGCAAAAATATCTATGTTTCTTTGCCAGATTAATTTTTTCTTCATTTAATAGAAAAATCGGAAAATCTGAAATAGATAGAATGATACAATTTTCTAGCTTTTGCTAGTTTCTCCTTCGGATTTTTGACAAAAAATTGTCAAATTGTCCAGTCGATCAAAAAAGTCGAAAATTAGAGACTTAAAAAATTCAAATAAACTCAAAAAAAGGGAATAAACCAATCAGAATAAATAAATCTACCCTTACAAGTACGACAGTTATAAGTACAATACTAAATACAAAGCCCTAAAAATGCAGTTTCCAGTTTCAAACCGACTCCCTTTCCAAATAACAACTTGCCACTAATCAATTGCCACATACAAAATATTCCAGAATCGACGTCCTAAAAGAATACACCGACATAACCGCAGGTATCGGCGCCCCCGATTGGCAGTTAACCCTGTGTTTGTTGGCCTCCTGGATTGTAACTTTCTCGGTCCTCGCCAGGGGCATTCGAAGTTCTGGAAAAGCGTCGTATTTCCTAGCCCTATTTCCCTACGTGATTATCCTCGCCCTGCTTTTAAGGGCAGTTACTTTAGAAGGCTCTGGAACTGGAATTTTATACTTCATCACGCCCAGATGGGACAAATTGCTGGACGCTAAAGTTTGGTACGCCGCAATGACCCAGTGTTTTTTTTCGTTAAATATCGGATTTGGTTCTGTTTCGATGTATGCTTCGTATAATGGGTTCCGACATAATGTTTACAGGGACGCTATGGTGGTTACTACTTTGGATACTTGTACGTCGTTACTTGCTGGTACTATTATTTTTGGTATACTTGGCAATTTGGCTAGTAAAATGAACGTGGACGTATCGGAAGTTATTAAATCAGGCGGTACCGGTTTGGCTTTTATTTCGTATCCCGAAGCTATTGCCAGATTTGAAGCAGTACCATGGGTAAAATCAATAATAATTAATCATATTTCATTATTAAAACATATTAATTTCAGTTATTTGCAATCCTTTTCTTTGTAATGTTGTTTGTTTTGGGTGTGGGAAGTTTGGTGGCCTTGCAAGGATGCGCTTTCACAGTCATCATGGATACTTTTCCTAAATTGAAAAGCTGGCACGTGTCCTTGGGTACTGCCATTCTTGGATTTATAATAGGATTGGTTTATATGACACCTGTGAGTAGATAGGTACTTTGTATGTTGATTTGTAATTGAATTATTTTATTTTAGGGTGGTCAATGGATTTTTACCATGATAGATTTTTACGGTGGTACTTTTATATTTTACGTCATGAACATTTTGGAAGTGGTTCTGATTATGTGGTGGTACGGTGAGTAACTTTTGTTTGCTTGTAAACATTATGGCAGGGCGGCGAATTATAAAAGAAAGCAGATTCTGATAAAATAAACATATTGTTTATTGGTATATTATACATAAACTGACACATTTTGCTTGCAGGTAAATATCTCAAAAACGAGAAAAGATAACGAGAAACGGTTTGTTCTAGGAGAATCAAGATTTTTTCAAGTGCTTTTTCTATCATAAATAGAATATTGAATAGATCTCAGCGAGGATCTCAGGCTCAAAAATGGAATTCTGAATATTTTTCACACTTAGATGTTTTTAGATATTAGATGTTAGATCTAGTTTTGTGTTGAACGTTGGACATTCATTTTCATTAAAGAAATTCTCCTAAAATTACACTTCATGATTTACAGGTCCAAATTTAAATATTTCAAAACAATATTGTTTTTGCATGCTAATTTCCAAAACTGTTCATGCTGTTATTTTTCACTGGAAAAATTTGAAATTTTGTAAAAATGAGCCTTTGACCTTCCTCTTCACATGTAAAAAGTTTCAAAATTTTCCCTTAATTAGTTTTCCAGGAAAACTTTAAATTGTATGAGACTGTTTTAACGATTATTTCAGTTTTTGTAAATTGATTTCCAAGATTGTTCATGTTGTTATTTTCCAGTGAAAAAATTTGAAATTTTGGGAAAATGAGCTTCTCCCCTTCCTCTTTACATGCAAAAAGTTTCAAAACTTTCCCTTCACTAGTTTTCCAGGAAAACTTTGAATTGTGTGAGACAGTATTTTTAATTAATTCAGTTATTGAAGATTGATTTCCAAGATTCTTCATGTTGTTATTTTCCACTGGAAAAATTTAAAATTTTGGGAAAATGAGCTTCTCACCTTCCTCTTTACATGCAAAACGTTTCAAAATTTCCCCTTCACTAGTTTTCCAGGAAAACTTTGAAATGTGTGAGACGGTATTATCAACTAATTCAGTTTTCGACAGGTTGATTTCCAATATTCTTTATGTTGTTATTTTCCACTGGAAAAATTTGAAATTTTGGGAAAATAGAAAAAATAAATTTCTTATCACGAACAATTATGGGGAGTTTAGGGAATTTGTAAGAGACATTTATGAGAAATTTGAGAGGAGTTTGGAGGAATTTGAGGGAATTTGGAGAAATTTGCAGGGAATTTAGAGGAATTTGTGGGGTATTTGGAGAAATTTATGGTGGGGTATTTGGAGGAATTTGTGATGGAGTATCTGGAGGAATTTGTGGGGAATTTGCAGGAATTTTGAGGAATTATGCGTGAAAAATTCCCCTTTGAGGAATTGTTTGCACAAATTCTGGGATGGTGGTTCACCCCTTGGGTGTTTCATTAAAAATAAGGCAGTATTTTGAATGACGATACGGCAGGCAATACTGTGAATAAAAAACTTCCCAACTAACCCAAATCCTCATTCTCTCAGAACAAATCACATCTCGTGATATTTTCTCGTTTTAGAGCAAAATGTGTCAGTTTATCTATAAGAAGGACACCCTGTATTAATAAATCTTCCATTATAGGTTTAGAAAATATTTGCCAAGACATCGAATTTATGACGAAACGAAAGCCAGGAATTTATTGGAGAATATGCTGGGGAGTACTAATACCGATGGTACTGTTTTTCGTACTCGGCTATTTTTTGATCACTTTCGAACCTTTACAGTACGAAAAACGAGATTATCCAAGCAAAATTATAGGTAATTTATGTAAATATTGATATAATTACATGAATAATTTCCATACTTATAGGATGGGGATGGGCCTTTTTCGCCTTCGGCATTTTCCAGCCCTTCTTGTGGTTTTCCATCGGGTTTTGGAAGCGAAAGGGTGATTTTGCGAGTGCAAAAGCGGTATTTCCGACGAGATAAAACCTTTTAATAATTGCGTTAAGTGTTTGTCTTTTCAGGCGGTTGCTTCGATGTTCAAACACACCGGTTGGGGACCCAAAGACCCGAAAAAGAACGAAAAATGGAAGGAGTTTAAGACATTGCAAAAGGCGCAAAGGGATATAAAGTTGAGGGGTAAAATTAAGGATAAATTGTGTATATTGATTGGCAAATAGAATTAAATAATTATAATTTATCTCAATCATGAATTAATATTGACATTGTTTTTGTCCCTAATCTTTATTGTCTTTTATTACATCTCACCAATGAGAAATAATGTAAAAATTCCTTGATCAATTTTGGATCACAGTCTTGACAAATTTATAGTACAATAATCAACTGATTACTTTTTAATCCTTTGAGAAGCTGGAAACTATTCTACATATCTACGGCATTGATAATTGTTTTTTGTCCTCCAACCACCACTGTGCCAGTGATGCCCGGACTTAAAGACATTTCCCTAGTTCCAGGGAAACAAAATTAATTCCTATAAAAATTTCAAATTACTTGAAATTATATACGCTACCTTGTCCTTTCTAATTACATGTAACATAGACATTGAAATTATGCTATTGCAATTTTATTTTGTAATATAATAATTATTATGATCAATGAATTGATTAATTTGTTATTGATTTAAATTGTCCTTATTTTAGTGTTATAATTGGGTGAGCATCATAAAGATAAAATGCTGATTTTATGACAAAAATAAATTTCCTAGTAATTATTATTAGAGTCTATAATTTCTGCTTTCAACCGGATTTTTCAAAATTAAACTATTTTCATTGGTATATGAATTCCGCAATAATTTTACCTTGAATAATTACGATTTGATTCAGTAAAAACAATACAATAAAAGTCAAACAACAATATGCAATTCCGAAAAACGAGGGCATTGTGGATAATTGCTTTTCCATTTCAATTTCCATCAAGCTCAATAAAAAAGCCAATGTAATAAAAACAAAAATGCCAATAGGTGACAATGAAGTGAGTTTGATTATTATTATATAGGGTGCCAATAATCCTAATATGACACTGAACTTTTTGGAACAACATTCTTATATTGGCAAGATTGAGATCAAGGCTCTCTGATATTTAGGACTTTTTTTTTTGTAAAAATTAAATCAATCAGGCAGGAGCAAATTACCTTATAATAATTAGTCATTATCATGTGCAATATTGCAAAGGAAGCTATAATAACCTTGTTGGATAATGAAACATATCTAATGCATTAATAGATTTGTAACTAATAATCAGATGTATTTCGGATGTACGTATGATTTGTATATTAAAAATATTTTTATGTTATGAACAGAGTATGGAATAAAATGCCCCTTTATGTAAACTTGAGTGGATTTTTGACTTTTTTTGAGGTCCTTTTTTCATAATTCCACGATGGGGTCTCAAATGATTACCTATCTGAAGTAGAAATCTCCACAAACAAAACTCAACTCTACTAACATGTGCCTGGACTTATTTTTCTGAAGAAAAAAGAACATAATCAAAATTAACGTATCAGGAATCAAAATACTTTCCTACAGCACATTGTTGGGATATCTTAGAAATATTTTGTGTTATTATGATTTGTAATATTAAGACAGTACCAAACGAGTTTCAAAAAATAGAAATGACCATTATCTTTATTGTGGCAGAATATTATAAAAATCCTCTTTTCTAAATCTCCTATGACAAACAAAATGTATCAATGAAACAAAAGGCTTATTGGATCATGTAGTCGTAAAAAATAAACCAGACACGTTAATAATTAGTGATCCTAATTAACATCAGCTCGTTCCCCTCTAAAAGCAGTACCTACCTTGTTAAAAGTGGCGGTACTACCTCAGGCAGGTTATCATTTTCGGTTTGTCGGTGAATGAGTTACGATCGGTTCTCTATATGGTACTGAGGTGCGTAGATCTTGGAGGGTACATTGCGTTTTTTGGAATACTTACCTGAAACAATAATGGACAGCAATAATAAAGTAAGTACATAAAGAATTTCAAATTTTTTTTTTCGTGAAAATTGAACTCCATATAAACTTCTTTAGAAGGAAATTTTGTTCATTTTGTAATTAGTAGATTATTAGATATATATTTTTTTCTACAACTGTCAAAAAATTATGATGTTCGCACACTCATGACAGTTTGCGAAGTGACACTTTTTTCCCAGGTATGTATTGATTTTTTAACGTTCCCATGACGCCGTGAGCGAACTAGCAATTTCGCGCACGTGTGCGCGAAATAGCTAGTTCGCACACTGGGTGTCATGGTGACACATACCTGTCAGGAAATCAAAAATAATTAAAATTCACCTACCTTTGATTGAAAATGCAATTTTGGCTTCGAATGATTGATATTTAAATGGAGTTGTAGAAAAAATATTGTTTGCAACTCGGGCGCGAAATACTTTGGTGATCGAGATCTGATTTTTTTAACGAGGCGCAGCCGAGTTAAAAAAATCAGATCTCGATCACCAAAGTAGCATTTCGCGCCCTTGATACAAAAATAACTATTTTTTCAGCTTTAGAAATACAATAAGCTCAACAAATTATAATACAATTTAATAATTATGTAATACATTATAATATCTACTATCATAAAACTACAATTATCAAAATTATTCATTTGACGCACACGTGAATTATTTACCTATTATTTTTTAAATAATGAGTTTCTTATTATTTTAATCCTATTAAGATTAGACGTTTTATTAGCTACAATTGTTGATAACGAAAAAACAAAAAAAAACCTTGTTTGTAACGACAATTATTAATTATTCCGATATTGTTTTATTAGTTTTGTTCATCAACTGAATTTGTTCGAAATCAAACTAAGATAAAATTTAATTATTTCATGTTTCGCACATAAGTAGATAATCTAAAACCGCCATTTAAAAAACATGTCGTAAATGATACCTATTGCTTGATTATTGAGGCATTACATAAATTAATTTCATTTCACCTATAGACAAATGGTATAGATAATCCCACATACGTACAACAACCAGAAGACCAACCGAATGGAAAAACCGCGAATGGTTTAGCTAATGACAATCAGGTAAGTTTTATATTGGGTTAGTAAAGTTAAATTATCGATTCCGAAATTAGTTATTGGACAATAAATTGGTTTTACAATTTTGTTATTCGTCTGTGTCGAGGATTTGACATGGTAAAATAAACTTTCGAAAACTGTTGTAAAATGATAAAGTGTTTTTGAAGGTGAGAAATGGAGGATTTATATGCATTTAAAGTTGTTTAATGTACAATATTTTATCTATAAGTTGGATCAAAAATATGTTAAAAATTTTAAAAGAAATTAAGCATTTGGATCAGGTAATCATAATTGTTTAATTTAAGAGTCGCTACATTGAATAATCAAGTGATTATTCTCGGCTCTGATTCGAATCAAGAGTAAAAAAAAATCAAAAATTGAACATTGAAAAAGATCCCTTAGAAATTACTGGAAAACATTTAAAATGCTACAAAATACTTTAATAAGCCTTTTGGAAAGTCCAAAACACTTAAAATTCAATCCAGAATTCCCAAAAGCATTCTATAACGCTTCAGAACAATTTGGAAACTTCAGGAAGATTCAAAAACATTTTAGAACAGTTCAGAAGTTTAAATTTAAACCCCATTTTAGGACGCTCCAGAACACCCGAAACACTCTAGAATCTTCAAAAATATTTTGAAAAGCGCCAGAATCTTAGGATTTAGGATTCAGGTTAGTTAGTTACAACACGCCTTTCAGCATTCAAGAGCAAATTTAAATTGCTTTAGAACTTTAATCTTTCAATGAATATCCAAAACAGTTCAAATGCAAATCAAAATTTCCAGGAGCATTTTGGAACAATTTAGAAACATGTCAGAACAATTATAGGATTCAATTTGGATCTGGGGTGCGATTTTCGAAACCACTCGAGTACATTTCGTACACGAATTTCGAATGCTTCCCATTTAATTTACATTGCTGTCAGTCAAATTTCGTGTACGAAATGTACTCGAGTGGTTTCGAAAATCGCACCCCTGGACACCGATTAGAACTCTTTTGAACCAAAAACAATTTGAGAATTACTAATTACTGAAAAACTTCTAAAATACTCCAAAACTTTTCAAGTCAGGTTAGAACACTGTAGAACAAAGGCATTCAGAACGTTTCAAAACACTCCCAGTAGCATTTGGAAAGGCTTTAAAACAATTTAAGAAACTAGTTTTTTTTTTTAAGTTTTTCTCACTTACCCCATTTGAAAACTGGAAATTTTTGGCAGAAAATGACGCGAATCCAAAGCCTCGCACTTTAAAACCCCTTTCCTACTGGAAAAGTCCTGGAAAACTGGAAAATTCGAGGAAAAACCGGGACCAAAACTAAAACGCGTCACTCAAAATGGCCGACTGTCAAATGTCCCTGTCAGGCTTTATGAATGGCATTCCAAGGCCTACTCGATTGAAACTTGAGTGAATTTGGCTAAAAGCGATGTTGCCACCTGAAAAAAAATCATTTTTAGTAGATAATTTATGAAAAAAAACTGTTATAGTTAATAATTAATGATTTTAAAACTTAAAATTCTCCAAAAAAGGATTCGAAAAGTTGTTTTTTATTGATTTTTTCTCACTCACCCTTCGCCCTTAATTTTAGCACTTAAAAGCAGGAATTTTTGGCAGAAAATGACGAAAATCCAAAGCCCCACACTTTAAAACAGTTTTCCCGACTGAAAAGGCGCTGGAAAAGCAGAAAATTCGAGGAAAACTGGATAAAAAATTGATAAAAATACTCAAAATTGCCAATTGCCATAATTACAATCAAAAACCGAATGTTTTTCCAGATTTTTCCTTATTTTCCGATAAATTCGCAGCCCGGAAAATTAACAAATTTCCATTTTTAATGTTAAATTGATTGTATTTCTGGAAAAAGACTGTGATTATTGTGAGTATAAGACAAAGAAGGAGATAAGATAGGATACATTTGCAAAAGCTGCACATGCGATTATAAAATGAGTGAAACAAAGAAAGAGATAAAGTAGTGCTTGGTCTCTCTAAAGGTGGCAGAAAAAGACGCAAATTCAAAGCCCCGCACTTAGAACCACATTTTTCCTATTAAAAAGGCCATGGAAAAGCGGAAAATCCAAAAAAAATCCAACGAAAATAACATTTCAAAGCCTACTTGATGAAATTAAAGTTTTCGTTACTTACCCCATTGAAAAGCGTAAATTTTTGCCAGAAAATTGAGGAAATTCAAAGACCCGCACTTTAGCTCGGTTTTCCCGATCAAAAAAACCCTGAAGAAGTGGAGAATTCGAGAAAAAACTGGATAAAAATGAAAACGTGTCACTCAAATAGAAAATATACTGTTTTTTTGCTTAAAATGTACTAAAAAGCTGTTAAATAATTAAATAATAATGAGTGAAACTATTAATAGTCCTGAAATAAGGCATTGGAAACTTGTTTTTAGTTTAATTTTAATAAAAATGACATTCCAAGGCCTACTTGATAGTAAGATAAAGAAGGAGATAAAGTAGGATACAATTGCGAAAACACAACTACTGGCTTTTTAGGGCGAGTATTATAAAACTGTTTTGAAAAATAACTGAGAGTTAACTTCCGGAATTATAATGAGAAGTAATAAGCATAAGGCAAAAAGACGTCTTGAATGTCGTTTGTGGACGTCTTAGGGACGTCTTTAAGATGTCTCTGTGCTGTATAGGTTGATTTGAATCAAGAGCCGGGAATAATCAATAATTGAACGTTGAAATTGATAAGCTAATCAAATCAATTCTGAAACTTAGGAACCTAATAAACAAAGTGGTTGGAAAACACAATTTAATTCACAATAAACAGAAAACGCCATGTTGTGGCTTTCCATTGACATTAAACATTCTAGAAATTCCTAGATTAACTGTTTAATTAAAACTGGATTCTAATCAAGAGCCGGGAATAATCAAAAATTACGTTCTTAACTATATACATTTGGATAACCATTGGAATTGAACTAAAATCACCAAATAGTATGATGAAAACACCAGAAACAGCATAAGATTGAATTCCTTTCTCTTAGAAAAGTTCTTGGCGATTGACTTAATTTGGAATTTTAACAAACTTGGAGATAATTCATAAAAACAATTTTCTAAATTATCAGAAATAGGTACTTACATCACTAGTGCGTCAATAGTTTTCCATTACTTAACTAAAATTATACTCAAATAGGTAGATTATGTATACCTACGTCGTATATCAAAATATTAATTTAAAAGTACTATTAATAAACACCCATGAATTATAACTAAATCCCTTTAATAATCGATCATTGAAACATTTTTTTATTGTACTGGATAATAATATTATATTTATAAATACCCAAAGCCAATATAATACTAATTATTAAAAAGCACAATTTTAATTAGTTTCGATAGTTAATAATAATTATTTGGCGGTGCTACCTTGACAAGCAAATTGCATAGGTAATTTTAATTGAATATGGAAAAAAAAATTGTAGAAAATCGAAGACGACAATAATGAGGAAAATCGCGCCCAATGGGGCGGCAGCTTCGAATTCCTGATGTCGTGCATCGCCATGTCGGTGGGCCTGGGAAATATATGGCGATTTCCTTTCACGGCAAAGGAAAACGGCGGCGGTGCCTTCCTAATACCCTACATCATCGTTTTGACTGTTATCGGACGGCCGTTGTACTACATGGAAATGGCCCTCGGACAATTTTCCAGCAAGGGAAATGTTAAAATGTATGAAAAGTTATCGCCTGTTTTGAAAGGTAATAACTATGTCATATTTAATCAAAGAATTTCTTAATAAAATATTATTCAAGGTATTGGCTTTGGACAATTAATAGGTTCGATATGTGTTGCCACCTACTATTGTTGCCTAATGGCAATCACTTTATTTTATTTGAGCCACTCTTTTACCAACAACTTACCCTGGACCACTTGTCAAGAATCTTGGGAGCCCTATTTGAAAAACATCAGCAGAGTTTGCGTTTCGTCTTTAGACAAAAGTGAAAACGCTACTGGAAACAACACCGTTAGTTCATCAGAATTATGGTTCAGGTACTTATACAAAAACAATTAAATAATATATTAATCATAATATTTTATATAGGCTTGAGGTCTTAAAACAAATAGACGACATTTCCGATGGTATTGGCACTCCCGAATGGAGATTGACGCTTTGCCTGTTAGCTTCCTGGATTGTAACTTTTTTGGTATCAGTGCGAGGTGTTAAAAGTTCTGGAAAAGCTTCGTATTTTTTAGCTTTGTTTCCTTATGTCATCATGATAGCTCTGTTGATTAGAGCGGCCACTTTACAGGGCGCAGGTGATGGGATGTTTTATTTTATCGAAACTGATTGGAACAAACTCCTGGATGCATCGGTGAAAATTTTCCAGTTAATTATTAATTGAAAATTAAATGGAAATTTATTAATCCAGGTTTGGTATGCTGCAGTCACTCAGTGCTTCTTTTCGCTGAACGTTGCTTTCGGATCGATTATCATGTACTCGTCTTACAATCCTTTCAATCATAATATCAACAGGTACGTATTTGATAGATATGGAACTTTACACGTATTGGAATTAAATTATTTCGTATAATTTCACTAATTCATCATATGGAATAATGCTAACGCCGGAATGTCGTTTCCCACTCGTTATGGAAAGTACAAAATTTGATTTAGGCGATCATAGAAAAATGTTGCGTGCTGCGAAATATGACATTTTTCCATTGATCTGAATTGTCTATTCAAAAAACTGTTCATACCCGTGTCGATTCATCCCACTCTATACTTGTCTTTCTCGTTTTCAGTTGGTAGTTCACTTTATTAACAATATCCTAGTAGGCCGTTTGCAGTGTTATGTTTCTCTCGCTTCATCCTTATGAGACAAAAAGAGATATGAATGACACTTCCATTCGGTAGTTTAGTTTGAGGTCATATTTTTCCGTCTCAATCTTTGTCCATTCCCGGCTTTTGAATTTCCATTTTTTTCTAATCTTCTCTTAATAAAGAAAATCCCAAAATACTTTGTGTCTACTTGTGTATCTACCAATTTTTTTCTCTCAATTTCTGTTGAATGTCTTTTCTTTATTTATCAATTTTTGTTATCCTTGATTCGAATCAAGAGCCGGGAATAATCAAAAATTGTACATGCGAACATATCAGCGAGTGTATAGTAGCAACATTCTACAAGTCAAAAAAGTTGCTATATTGAAATCTCAATTAACCAAATGACTCAAAAAGACCTAAAACTCGAACCAGGTATAAAGTGAGAAATTGGAAAAAGATAGGGAATGCGGTCTAGGAAAACCTGAAAAAATATATATGTATACTAGAAAACTCCTGTTTAGCTTTTTGATCCATCCTTTTTTCGTCACTTTCCAACTCAATTTTCCAGCTATATGATGACTTGATGAGTAAATCTTCAATATAGCTGTACCAATCATGGAAACCTGATGCAAATTCCTGATCAGTTGAATAAAAATGAAACTTATTTTTCCAGAGACGCTTTGGTAGTGACCACCTTGGACACCTTCACCTCGCTTCTATCGGGAGCCACCATTTTCGGCATTCTCGGTAACCTGGCATACGAATTAGGAGTCCACCCTTCCAAAGTCATCTCTGGTGGTGGTACCGGACTGGCCTTCATATCCTATCCCGAAGCAATAGCCAAGTTCAACAACGTTGCATTTGTATAAGAAACTCCCCAATTGTTAATTTAATTTAATTTATTTTATTTGTAGTTGTTTGCTATTTTATTTTTCTTCATGTTGTTCGTACTGGGAATTGGAAGTTTGGTGGCACTACAAAGTAGCGTCAATACAGTGATCAAGGATGCGTTTCCTAATTTGAAATCCTGGATGATTTCTGCTGGTACTGCCACTGTTTTGTTTTGTATTGGTTTAATGTATGTCACTCCGGTAAGTCAGTGTCATTTAGAGTCAAAATGTGTTTTAATTTAAATCAATTCAGGGTGGTCAATACATGCTGGATTTGGTAGATCATTTCGGCGGTACTTTTATTGTATTCGTTTTTGCCATTTTTGAAGTTTATGCTGTTGTTTTTCTTTACGGTAAGTACCCACCTAAATATAGATTGGTTGACTATTTATTTCAACTATTTTCTCTATATCAGGTTTAGAAAACTTTTGTATGGACGTCGAATACATGACGAACAAAAAAGTGGGTATTTATTGGAGAGTTTGCTGGGGTTTGATTATGCCAATTTTACTTGTGACTATTTTTATTTATTTTGTTTGCACTTTGCCAACGCTCACTTATGGCATCTACCGTTTGGAATATCCAGAAGGTCTACTAGGTAAGAGTTATTCAAAACAAAACCGCACAACATCTAAAAATAATTCTTTCCAGCTTTTGGTTGGTGTATTTTGGGAATCTGCTTGTTACAAGCAGCTTTATGGATTGGATATTATACAAGCTTTAAAACTGAAATTCCAGTGAGTTTTGCAATTGAGTATATAGGTAATATTGTTGTATTTGTATTGTTTTGTAGGTATTTTCAACTGAAAACTGGGGTCCATCTGGAGTCAAAAGAACAGACGATTGGAAAAGGTACAAGCAAATGGAATTGGACAGAAGAGGTTACGACAGAGGCAATTGGTTTGTTAGACAAGCTAGATTTATATTCTTGGGACGTTGAATTTCAATGAATAAACTATAGTTAGGTACTTTTAGCTATTGAACAAGATTTTGAAATTGTTTGTTAAATATATAATTTAATTATTTCTGTGATAAAAATAAGTATTTAGTTAAGATGTTTTATGGAAATTCATCTTTTGTTTGAGTCCAGGTGAAAAATGGGAAATCATCATGACACATTTTTCGCCTTCCTATTAAAATGATTGTTTATTAAATAAATTCTTATCCAGGTAAAAAAAAATTGTGTTCATTATTCATTCCTTGCATTCTTTTATTGTTAGAAAGCTAAAATTTTCAGCGATTCTTATCCCAGTAGAGGACTACAATCCCTGAAAATTTCAACTCATTTGGACTTATAGTTTCTGAGATAAAATCGTGTTAAGGAATTTGGGGTGATTTATCAATTTTTCAATTTTTCTGAATGCCTTTTTTCATAGATTTCGGCTTTAAATCTGAGAATAATTTAGTGTATGGAGTTTGGGGGATCCAAAATGACCATTAAGACACAAAATCTCAACCTTCCTTCATAATAACCTCGATCAAATACCTAGCAAATCCCAAATAAGATCCAGTATGAAATCCATTTCCTTCAACAAGTGGGCTAGGATTATTACAGATTGCCGTCTATGTAATGCCAGCAATTTACCTGAATCCCCTATAATCCCGTTCCAGTTTCAATTTAGCTCCTTGGGGATAACTATAAATTCCACATATTTACTGCCATATACGTTCCCAAACTTACCTACCTGTTTATTCATAGAAAGTCAAAGCCTGATGGAATCTGGATGTAATTAAGGAAATGCACATTGCAAGTTCTAATTAGATTTGATATAGGTAGGTGATGGATTTATACTCTAGAGAGAGGGATGATATATGGAGGATTTCTCATAAAATATAAATTTATTCCGGCATGATAATGGCTATAGGTCATTTCCAAATTGTAGTTTGTATGTTTTTACGTGTTTGAGGATCAATTTTCAGGTGTTTTGCATATGTTTTTAAACCAATTGTAGCCATTCTATTACAAAAACCATCCCCAGTTAATGAAATTAGCTTGATAAAAACACCAACTCTTGGAAATCTCGTTTGCCCTTTGCTGGAAATCATCATCAGTCATTCATGAAACTCTAAGAATAACGATGGCAGAGAAAATCCCCGAATCAACTTCCAAGTAATTGGTCTTTTGATTGATAATGAATCAATTAATTGTGTGCGAAAATCCAAGTCAGTAGTGTCCGATGCACCACACAGCTACAGTCTCTAGGTCAAAGGTCGGTGCACTAGGGCGACGTCTAGCCTAGAGTCGGCGTCGAATATCTGGCCGGGTTGCCAAAGCGCCCCGCAGAAATCTAGTTTTCGAGTACTTTTTCAACGGAATCATAAAGTTGGCTCGAGTCGCTTTTATTGGATTCTATATGATCTATTGCCTCGTCTAATTTTTATTCCCGGAGATTCAATTATTAAATCGAGAATTTATAACCGTAATCTTAGTCTTTTACCTTTTTCGTTGGTGCGAAAAAGAAATTACCAAGACGCTTTTTTTTATCGTTGGGGTATTATTAATGTGCCTTTTTCGTTTAGAAAAAAATAAAATAAGCATTCAACATTAATCAATAAAACATCTTTATTTCAAATACAAATTCTAACTTATATTGGCTCTTGAACATCATTATTATTTTTCTGTACCGAATAAACAGTATAAGGTTTTTGCATAACCTGATGAATCCCATGCTGACAATGAATCTTCAAATTATGCTTTCTCTGATGTAAAAAATTACTAACGAAAAATCTATTCAACTCGTGCACTTGCGGATGCTTCAAATAATCTTCAATACTCATCCATTCACACTCAGCTATTTCACGTTCACATTTTTCAATATCTTCAGCCAAAGGCTTCAAATTAACAACTACATAAATGTCAGAGCAATTGAACATGCCATGATGAGTTTGTCTGAGAGTTAGTAAAGACTGGAACTCGGATTTGATACCAGTTTCTTCCCAAACTTCACGAATTGCGGCGTCTACAAGATTTTCACCAGGTTCTACGTAACCTCCAGGCAATTTCCACATAGATTGTTTGTAAAAGTATTTTTCTTTGACAACCAAAACTTGGCCTTTGTTGTTGACTACCACAGCTCCAACTCCGACCATTGTGTGAGCGTAGTTTGGTATGTTGTTGGACTCTTGAGTGGGTAGCCATAAGTAAAGCATTACGTAGTCTTCTTTGGCGTGGTGGTATTTGAAACCATTCTAGAATATTCGGTGTTAAATGGTGAGTTTTTTTTTTAATGGGGCAGGCTTACTTTTATTAGGACAGGTACCCAGTCGCATTGGTTCAGGTGCACTTTGAACCAAATGCCTCGTTTTTTGGACGATCTCCAAGAGTCCAAGGAAGCTAAATGAGAATTGTCAATAATAGAAAGCATTCTATTGCTGTTTTCAATGAATAAAATTGTAAGAACAAACATCAGGCAGAGGAATTATGGAGTGGAATTCTAACTTTGGGGCAACAATATTTCAAAAATTGCTCCAAATATAGGGTTTGGTCCATATGTTATCTTATAGAGCATTGAATTTTGATTCAAAATCATCAGCTACAACCAATAGGTACTAATAATTAATAGAGTAACTTACTAAGGTACTAGAAAATCTGGTGAAGCTATTTTGGTTGATGAGGAGTGGTATATTGAATATTTAATTATTCCAGGCTCTTGATTGGAATCAAGAAAAAAAAATTCAATTCTCTGACATCCTTTTTTCATAAATTGCAATTCCAAATCTCAGAATAACTTAGTGTATGGAGTATAGGGGGTCCCCAATGATCATTTATACACAAAATCTCAACATAAAAAAATTTGAAATTTCATCGTTTTAGTAAGAAGGTAGCTTACCTTATGATTTGGATTTGGGAGAACTTTGAAAAGTCATAACTTTTTTCTATTATAGATAAAAAGCTGAAATTTTCACCAATTCTTATCCCAGTAGAGCACTACAATCCCTGAAAATTTCAACTCATTTGGACTTATAGTTCCTGAGATATAAGTAATCGTGTTAAGCATTTTGGGGTGATTTATCAATTATTCAATTTTTCTGACTGCCTTTTTCCATAGATTTCGGCTTCAAATCTGAGAATAATTTGGTGTATGAAGTTTGGGGGATTACAAATGACCATTAGGACACAAAATCTCAACAAAAAAAAATAAAATTTCATCCAATTAAGTACCGGTAGGTCTTAAGTTACTTTTTTTTCTATCAAAGATAGAAAATCACATCCTGATCTCTGATTTGGTTATTCCTTACCAAAAACCTAAGAGGATTTTGAAGGAAATTAGCAATCTGAGGAATTAGGAAATTTATCAAAATTGTTCTGAGGTTAACTAACCCCATAACAATGAAAAATTAAGAACTTTGGAATTATTACAACATAGGGTTTTCCTGATCTTACACCAGATCTACTGCAATTTTCATGAATGAAGGAAATTTATAGGAATTTGGGAATTACAGGGTTTTGAAGAAAATTGGAAGCAATCTGAGGAATAAACGGACCTACAAAAAATGTGTTCTGAGGTTTTCTAACCCCATGAAATTGAAAAATTAAAAACTTTGGACTTATTACAGCATACGGTTTTCCTGATCTGACACCAGATCCACTGCTATTCTCACCAATAAAGGAAATTTATAGAAATTTAGGAATTAGAGTTTTATGAAGATCAGAGGCAATCTGAGGATTTAAGATTTAAAGGACCTACAAAAAAAAATGTTCTGAGGTTTACTTACTAACCCCATGAAAATGAAAAATTAAAAACTTTGGACTTATTATAACATAAGGTTTTCCTGATCTGACACCAGATCCACTGCTATTCCTTCCAATATAGGAAATTTATAGAAATTTAGGAAGCAGAGAGTTTTCAAGGAAATTAGTGATGCAATCTGAGGAAATAAGGGAACTACAAAAAATTGTTCTGAGCTTCACTAACCCCATAATATGACAAAAATGAAAAATCAAGAACTTTGGCCTTATTAGGTACAACATAAGAATGTTCGCGTTTTTCTTTTTCTCTCAATATAAACTGACTTACCAATAACACTACCAATTCTAAATTATTGTCCAAAATTAAGTCTTTGACCTTATAAGAATGTTGATAAATTTCCCTTACCTTTTAGTTTCTCAACAAATTCAGTATTTTCACAAGGCTCCACATCAGAAAAAACTGTAATACCTTCAAATCTATCCTCTTTTCCATTAAAAATACTATGATTTGCAGTCATTTTTAACTTTGCTGGCTCAAACCTAAGAAAAAACAAATTGCAAAATATAATCATTAAAACAAATTTCCTCTCACTTATTATTCAACAATAATTTACTGTTAAATTTGCCTTTGGAAACTGAAAAGGACCTCGTTTTCCAAACAAAAACGCACAACGATTTGCAGCGACATAATTTTCCGTCACTTAAAAACGAAAGACACGATTTAAAAATCATAAAGGTACGATTTATTACGTCAAGAAAGTGTTGTCATGATGAGGATGGACTTTAAACTTTTGAAATTTTAAAAAATAAATTAAATAATTTTTTAAAATGAAATGTAAACATAAACAGACCTATTGCATAACCTCAATTTTCTCATCAGTCAAAAGTAGTGTGAGTGGTGCTGCCATCTAGCATTTTGACACTAAAATAAGGTTTATTGACAAAAGAAAGCTTTTATTAAATCTAATTCTGTAGAGTTCTTGTTGACCTTCTGGTGTAGAAACTGGTGTAGTAAAACAGAGTACAGTGCTGTAGAATGTATAGAGTATAGAGCTGTAAAGAAGCGCGAAACTTCTTTAAGTTCGTTTGTAGTTTGCAACTTTACCGTTAGATGGCGCCAGTTTTGTAGGTAATTTATTTGTTTTTAAATAAAGCATCATGTGAATTGAGGTAATTAAAACAAAACCATGCCTGGAATTAGATAATTATTTTATTTATATTCATTTTACAATAAAAATTACTTTATAATAATTCTTGTTTTGTGTCTTTTTCTATCAGCTTGTATAAGACAGAGATACAAATACAATTTGTCATAGTAGGCTTTGTAAATCCCCGAATTAGCGGCCATCTTGTCGGCATTTTCATGTCGTGTGTGTTTTAATTTTTAATCCCCAGTTTTTCGGAAAATGTTGTGGTTTTTCGGGCGATTTCAATGCGGAAAAGTGTTTTAAAGTGTTCGTTGATGTTTTGCGTTCGATTCGCACACTAGGCACAAACCAATTCGAAAAAATACTGTTTTTTTTGGGACGTATAAACTTTGTGTGCTGCTGGCTGGGGCAATGTGAATCGCAAGATAAGTACTTTTGTATAGTATTCTTATATAGGTATTCATTATGTATTTCTTTGTATAGTGTCATGAATTCCCGAGTGTATTTCAATATTTTCCAATAAGAATCGATTTTATTGAATAAAGTTGAAGTAGTGTTTACTAAAGAAGTATTTCATTAATAGAGGCTTAAATAATATCAGAAAAGTCACTGTTAACTAACAAAGGCTTTTGAAGATGTTATTAAAAATAAGAATCAATATCATCGAGTTAAGTTAAAGTTTACTAACAGAAAGATTAATTTGGTTTGGGGCCTATATGATCGACAGTTTTTTTAGGAAAAATCTAAAATTCTAATATTGAGTCATTTACATAGGTACTCGGCAACCATATCCCACTCAAAAAATCCTAGCTTAGTTATTCCAAACTAACTCCACATAAAATTTCAGTATGTTAATTCTAGCTAAAACCCTATCAAATACAGAAAAAAATAATAGTGTTGTAAAAATGATCAGCTACGTTACTAGTTTTCGTAGCTAGCTGCGTGGGTGGCCCTGACGTAGGGACGCCCTTCCACACTTTACCACGTGCTAAAAGGCGTCGCGTCGTCGCTCCGTCGCCAGCGTCGGGACGCTCGTTTTCTGTCCGACACGTCGACCAGAGTACGTTGAAACGCGGAAAAGTGAACTTGGGCCTGGGAAGTTTTGTCGGCGGTCGTGAAAGTTTTACGAAAGTTTTCTTGTGCAATTTGATTGAGGAAGCTTTTTATCATCAACTGGTATGAATTTTGATTTATACGAAACGTGTGCGACCTTAAGACTTAAAAAAAATGCATACGCACACATAAAATTTGAATATATTGTGATAAACTTATAATGTCAGACCAATTTTGCATAGTTAACATTTCCGAATTACATTTTATTTGCAAAATAAATTATCGGTTTTTGTTTAATATGCGTTATTTTATGCAAAAAAAAAAAAATTCGTTTAAATGTACCTAATGCTTGGCAATTAATTCTTATCCGTTGAATATAATAATTATGTATATATTATTCTGTTTGATAGCTGATTACGTCAAAAAATTTACGAAAAAATATTAACATTCGGTTTTGGCTTAGAGCAGGTAAAGGTAAAGGAGTAGTAACCTGGATTTGGAAAATGAAGCCGTTTTTTTCCAGGTATTTTGGCCCACAAAAAATGGCGGTTATGGCAATTCAATGCTCTACCTGTATTTTGGTGCCAAACACCTGCCAAAAACTTGGCTTCACTTTAGTTTCATAAGCAGAGTGGCGCGTTCCTACTCCTTATGTCCGTAGGACAGCGCTTTACCTGCTCTAAGGGTTTTGGAATACCTAAATAATTATTGCCCTCTTTGTCATTTTTGATATACCTACACAATATCTTATCGAATTGTTGAAATTTATTAGTTTTTTTCGGTTTTTGATTGGCTGGACAACAAACTTTTTCATTTCCCGGAGAATTTTTCTGGATATTATCAAAAGTCCAATTTTTGGTTATCACCGGCTCTTGGTTCAATGGAAAATTATTTAAAAAAAGGGTTAGTATCGCTGTTAAGAGATTCAATTTTGGAGTTTCAGTTCAACTTTAAAGGAAATTGTAGCAATAAGGCAACATTGTATTTTTTTCTTGATTTGCTAGGGCTTTAGATAGAACATACTAAAATTTTATGAGGATTCAAATGGTAATGTAATAACTTAGTTACGATTTTTTAAATGTGATGGTTGCAAACAATGCAAAAACTTACGTATGATTCAACTTTAAAGTCTTGAATTTTTCCTGGAAAAACTGGGGTTTGGGAAGCAGCTTCATATTTTTTTCTTGAATTGCTAATGTTTCAGCTATAATATACTAGAATTTTGTAAGGATTAAGCGAAATATAGCTTAGCTGTGATTTTTTAAGTGTGATGGTTACATACAATGCAAAATCTTCCAAATAACTCACCATCAGTGTTTAGAATTTTTTTCTGAAAAAACTGTTGCTCGTATAGCAACTTGTAATTTTTTTCTCCATTTTTTAAGATTTCAACCAGAATACACTAAAATTTTATGTAGATTCGATTTGGAATAACTGAGCTACGATTTTTCAAATGAGATGGTTACAGAGTATGCAAAAACCTCCAAATGACTCAACATCAGAATTTTGAATTTTTCCTGGGAAAACTGTTGCTCGTAGGATACCTAACTTCCTATTTTGTTTTTGAATTGTTAAGGCTTTAGCTAAAATATACTAGAATTTTATGAGGATTAAGCTTGAGATAGCTCAGCTGTGATTTTTTAAGTGTGATTGTTACATACAATGCAAAATCTTCCAAATAACTCACCAAGTCACCATCAGAGATTTGATTTTTTCCTGAAAAATCTATCGATCGTAGAGCAACTTTATATTTTTTTCCTGAATTGAGGGTTTAAATTAAAATATAATGGAATTTTATGTAGATTCAATAATTTAGAATAACTAAGCTACGATTTTTCAAATGAGATGGTTACGAAGTATGCAATGATGTTCATCTACATCAGAATTGTGAATATTTCCTGGGAAAACTGTCACTCGTAGGGTAACTTTATATTTTTTTCTTGAATTGCTAAGGCTTTAGCTAAAATATACTGAAAGTTTGTAAGGATTTAGCTTGAGATAGTTCAGCTGTGATTTTTTGAATATGATTGAGTATACAATACAAAATCTTCCAAATGACTCATCATCAGAGTTTTGATTTTTTCCTGAAAAAACTGTTGCTAGTAGAACAAGTTGATATTTTTTTCTTGATTTGCTAGGTTTTTAGCTAGAATACACATAAATTTCATGTAAATTCAATCTGGAATAACTAAGCTACGATTTTTCAAATGAGATGGTTACAGAGTATGCAGAAACTTCCAAATGGCTCAACATTAGAATTTTGAATTTTTCCTGGACAAAATTTTGCTCGTAGAGCAACTTTATATTTTTTTCCTGAGAAAACTGTTCTTCGTATAGCAACTTGATATTTTTTTCTTAATTTGCTATAATTTCAGTTAGAATACGCTGAAAGTTTATGAGTATTAAGCCAAAGATACCTCAGCTGTGAATTTTTAGGTGTGATGGTTACATATAGTATACAATGAAAAAACTTCCAAGTTCCTCTACATCAAAGCGTTGAGTATTTTGCGAAAAAACTGTCGTTTGTAAAGCATAATTATATTTTTTTCTTGATTTGTTTGGGTTTCAGCTAGAACATACTAAAATTTTGTAAGGATTAAATTTCAAATAACCAAGCTACGATTTTTCAATTAATTGTGATGGATACTAATTATGTAACAACTTCCAAATGATTTAACATCAGAGTTTTGAATTTTTCCTAGAAAAACTGCCACTTGTAGAGTAAATTTATATTTTTTTCTTGGACTTTAGCTGAAACATACTGAGAATTAGACTTAAAATAATTTAGTTGTGAATTTTCAAATGCTAGGACTTATAGATAAGTAGGTAACAGTTAACTCAAACTAACTTTCAACAAATACCTGAAACCAAAGGAAGGTCGTACTTCACAGATCATTACCCCTGGTATTATGGGAAAGCGCATATTTTTGAAGGACGTTTTACGATCAAAAGTCTGACTTTCATAGCGTAACCGCTATTTAAAATAATTGCAATGCTCGAATATTATAGATTTTTTCCCTATTGCGTACGTGTATTATTAACCCAACCAAAAGATCTCTCGATTTAGTTCAATATTTATTTGTGCCAATCAATTTTCCCCCTATAGGAAAATTGTTTACCGGAAATAAATGGCGCTTGAGGGTGGATAAAAATAAAATCGTATAGCAGGAAAAACAAATCGACATTTTTTAATTACGATATCAATAAATCTTTTGATTGATCATCTCAGTTTTAAACTTTCACTCATCAAATAATGGTAGAATCGATTTGCAATAATGCAAAAAAAGCTCCAACAACTTATGCATTATAATTATTTACTTTTACTTTGTGTTGAATGTCAAGTATCTATACAATTGTTTGCAGCAAAGAAATATTTCTTTGTAGGTAGTTATAAATTTTGAAGGAAAATTAAATATGATTTCATTATTATAAACAGATCAAGGTTGATATTATTATATAATAATTGAAAATAATTATTTAAACAAAGTGATGTTATTGTTTGTCTATGGTCATGTCTGGTGGCTTTTTTAAATAAACATTTTGCGGTTATTGTACAGGAAGGACGATAATAAATTATTGTTTATACGATCTTGTTTTGTTACAACCAGAATTCAAAAAAATATCCACATTTCTAAATATGATGATTCAATCTCAATAAATCCTCCTACTTCCAGATTCAAGTTACGTCTTCCTTTTTGGCTTATTTGCTCCACTGGAAATATCAAAATCAGATTATCTTTTAAAATGTATCTCTTTCATGTTGTTACTCTCAGTGGAAAACTGTGTCTGCTTGGCCTTATAATACAACCCCTGACTTATTTTTGTATTATATTTGCAAATTTTCTGGTTTGTGAATAAGAATATCGTCTTACTTAAAAAGAAAAGTTTGTCTTTATGTCGTTTTGTATTATAAATAACCACATAATAACATTTTATCAAAAGTACGTTGCAAAATAATGGGTCACGATAAAAAAGAAAAAAAGTATGCAGTTTTGCCTTGACAAAATGATAAACTTGACCTTTTAACAAATTATTTTTCAAATTAAAAATGTTTGCGAATTAATTACTTTTTCTGTATCTCTGATCTCGTCGAGTTCCAAAAGAGAAAGGCTAAAATGCTATATGAAATAAAGTCACTTTTACTTTTACTTCATAATAATCTTTTTTTTTTTTTTTGTTTCGTTTCGTGTACCTACAACTTTTGTCTTTTCGTGTTTTATAATTTTTAGAACAATAGTATATTACATACCGAGTAGGGAAGTGTTTCATTACTGTCGAGAGATTTATATAGTCTAGTCTAGACTATTAATCTCGAGACAGAAATGAAAACTTTCCTTTGAGGTTTGTATACTATTTTATTTGCAAGCACATCATTAATTATGATTAGCCATTCAATTTTTTTAATATTAAAAAAATAAAACAAACATGCCAAAATTTGTCATTCACTGTTTTGACGTTTTTACCTGACATGTTCTCATTGTTGCCAGCAAAGGTAAATAAATTACAGTGAGGGAAATCGGTGAGGGAAGTCGAATAGGGAAATCGGTGAGGGAAATCGAAGAGGGAAGTGACACAGGTAAAGTGACACTTCCAAATTTTTAAAAAACCAGTAATGTCAAGATTACATATTAGACTATCCAAGATGCTGTCAAACTTAAATTAAAATGGCCGCCAAGAGGCACACAAACCCTTTGTTTATGTGTCATCCAATTTGTTATCAAATAATGTTATGAGTTTTTGAGTTTAAAATAGTGCTCATTGTGAATTATTTGTGTTCTGATACTTAAAACTGCTGTTTTTATTAATTTTAGAAATAGTGTATTTAAATACTGTATGTAAATCGGAGTAAATAGTTCTTGAAAAGTGAAAAGCATGCCTACAACGTATTTTATTATTAAATGTGGAAGTCGTGGAGATCACAGATTACCCAGGTCGAGACATTGCTAAGTTTTTTCAAATTCCAAAACAATACAAATCAAGGGACAACACTGGACGGTTAAGTTAAAACAGATAAATATTTTCACATTAAAGGTAGGTCCTGCGTGTCCAAGTGGAATGAAGGTAGAGCAACCTTGCCCAAACAATAAGAATTCCGTAATTGGGTAGAAACTAGCAAAAATTGA